ATCATGGTTACATCATGATAAAGACTATATCAAAATGTAAACTACAATTGATTTTTGTCCTTAAAAATGTTTCAACAGGCATTATACAGTCTGAATCAGTTTTTCCATCATTTTCTTCCAAGAGTTCTGTAGTTTAAAGATGCTGATGTTCCCTAACTCTGCTCATTTTCCTTTCAAAATGAAGTGAACTTTTACTCATCTTCCAGAATTAATTTCTTTTAGAAAAAGCATGTTAATACAAAACACAGATGGGAAGTACTTCCCAAGTCCCAAACTCTAACTCTCTGAGCCAGATTCAGTGTCAATGTTCACAACTTCCCAAATGAAAAACTGTTTTCTGCAAATATTCTAACACTAGCTAAGATTTTATATTTTCTCTGAATGGTCTTGATAGGGAAACTAATATGTATATGTAAGTAATTGCAAAAGTGGAAATAGTATTACTATAATATTTCATTCAAACCAACAAACAGAAATATGGCATAAAACTCTGGCATTCTGGCCACTGACAGCTCTGCTATCTCAAGTCACAGAGAATATCACCAAAAGATAGAAGTTGCAGCTACCTGAACCTCAGAGAATGTAATTTCATTTATTCGCTGCAATGACATTTTTACTAGACTACAGCTTCATGTAGATTAGTCAGACACATCAAAAACCACATATTAGCTGAGGTGAAGCTGTGATGACTGCAGTTGTCTAACAGTGTCAATCCAAACTTTAGATTAATATAATTTGTTAGCTCTAAATGACAGAGATATAATATAGATCTCGTATATCGCCAAAGTAGTAAATAATTAGTGAGCAGAACTGAGTACAATAGCAGGTTGAGCACGCCCCCAAATTTTGAATCTTGATGCAGAAGTCAGTGATCAGAATGATCCATCTTTCTCCCCTGAACGATAAAACAGCTTTCTCGCAACCTAACACATAGCACCATCTGGCATGAACAGAGGAAACTAAGAACTTCTGGAAGAGAAGCACAAAAGCAATTTAGTTTCTTTGGAATTGTCCAAGATATTAGCAAAGATCCTTCAGAAATAGCCATCTGACTGCAAATGTGGCTCAGTGAACCTGTCTCCTGTAGACATGCTTGTATAGCTAATAATCTCAATAACAGGTTGTTGAATTGAACTGAAATGTTTGCGTATGGGATGAGTGTTGTCGGAGTTAACACAGAGTATGTGGAAAGTCAATTGTCTACCAAACTGGCTGGGTTTCAGAACATTATCTCATGTTTCTTAAGAGGAATTTTAGGAGCTCAGAATACATCTCTTCAGCAAAGCTCAGCAGGCTCTTTTTGGTAGTTATTTGTAAGAAGTGTAACTAGAAACACCAAGTTAAGCTGTGCTTTGGACGGTATCAGCACATGCATTACTGGCTGTTTGCTGGGGCTCAACGTCCTCCACATGCGGTGGGGCAGGAGCAGTCTGATCACACCATCCACCTCGAGAGGGGATGTGGCGCTGTGCCATCAGAGGCACTACTCAGACGTACTGTGCTGAGTGGTTAGTCTGAGATGTTTGTAGCATAAACACAAATGGAGTCTGCAGTCTGGATGGCATTAGACCGTTTCACTGATATTAGCACAGATATATTTTATCGTTGCTTTTTGAAAGTGACTTTTAATGCAGACTGTGTTCTAAATGATCCTTAAAAGACACTCCTTTTTTCCTCATCACCTTCACCTAAGGCAATAACATCCAGTAGCATTGATCTATTCGCTGCTAGTTGTCATTAATTTTACCCTCCCTAAGGGTGGTGCAGCTTTGGTGCCAGCTAATTAAAACCTATTTAGGGCCGTTCAGTGCACTTTATCAGACCAGAATTAGCTCTGCTGCTTTAATGAAGACTACAGTTTTCTCTGTTATTACCAATTAAATGTTGTTATATCATGTTGCATTATATTTCTAATGCATGGCAAAGATACAGATGGTTTTAGAACCACTTACCTGGATTGAGGTACCTACAAAGATGTCACATTTAGTAATTACCTAATGTTTCTTTAAATCCTTTCACTTGACTCCATACATATAATATACCAAAACATTAGTGAAGTACTGGAAGAAGCTGCCAGCTTTATGTTCCCTCTAGGGAAGTACCAAGTAAAATGCATTAATGAAAAATTGTGAATGTGTGGTAATTAATATTATTTATGTACAACAATTATTCAAAGTGGATGAGCATTCACCACCTTGAAGTCAAATGCTTCACTAATGAAGACTCTCAGAAAGAACATATGTCCCCCAGATTCATAACACTGCATGCAAGGTTAATTCTCCAGCGCGGATAGCCCATAGCAGAGGGGTTTTTGTACTGCTGTAGAATTAAAAAATGCTTCATTGTGAAATAAACAAGCTTGTTTGTTGGACATTATTTAAAGGCAATTCTTGTTTCTTCAGTGAACAAATAATAAACCATTTGTCAATACCAAAGCTGTGGGTTTTGAACCTGCACTCAGTGAAGTCAGGGATGAAGCTCCCACGTCAGTGGTGCAGGACCAGAGCTTTTCTGTGGTAGAGAACCGACTGCAGCACATACCTGTTAGCTGCTTCTCATAACATCCTTTAAAACTGAAGCACCACTAGGATTAAACTACTGAAAAGTCCCACTAATTACCTAAAAAGATGGTACATGAAAGAGTAGAAATAGAAAGCTCATTAAAGGCTTGACAGACTAGAAATCTGTTGCAATCTTACTATGCATTAGTAACATACACTGTACATAAGGATAGTATTTTAGGATTAAACTAAAATAGATGTGGTTACAATCCACTCAGTACATTTTAAAATATGAGTTGAACTTGGTTTCCTTCCAGAATTTTTGCTGGGAACATGTTGAAACAGACCTCTGTTCAATCTAATATTGCAAGCAAGAGTTGATGTTTCTCTGAGGAACTGAAGGAATATTTGGCTGAGAACCTGAGTCTGTCTCAGCATCATAATAGTCTGGCACAATGTGCAAAACTATTTTCATCACCCACAAATCTCTGGTGCTCTCCCTTTACTGCTTCCACAAATGTCACATGTCTCTAACACCCTCATGACCCTCCCTAGAAACAGCAGACAGGTCCTGTGAATTGAAGATGTTACAGAAAATGAAACAGTTTCCAAGCTGAGGTCCCCTGATCAGTAAGAAACTGCAGGATGTTTTCTTGTGACACAGAACGTGTTGGCTGGTGACACATCCATTGTTTCCCTCGTTTCTGGCCGACAAGTGCAATAAATGATGTTAAAAACACCACTTAGTGTTTGATGTGAAAAGTAGGACTAAAAATGAAAGTTGCAGTATAAACAAGGATGTTGTCCAATTGCCACTGTGAGAAGTGGTAGCGTTTTTTTCACAGTGTAAAAGGGAGGCACATGCAAACGCAATGTGATGTGGGTCATGAGGCAGGGTCTTTACAATTTGCCTCTGTTCACAAGGCGAAACTTTCAGTTGTTGTAGTGGATTAAGGAGAAAGAAATTTGGCCACTTGGACATCAGGCTGCTAAAGAACTTTGTCAATAAGCGCTGGGAGAACAGAAGTTCAATCTGCCTTACCATGGAAAGAAGCATTTGTATTGTGTTAATTGTGTAATAATAAAACCTTGAGATGTGTTAATTTGTTGAAGAAGAATGGAGTAGGCTGGACATGACGATACTTTGACACTGGATGATGACATTTTTTGATAGGATATACTAAGGTCTGATCTCACAGTAAGGATTTTGATAAAGTCAAGTCACTGTGACCTGACTGATTGTTAATATAGAAGAGTCATAAACAATTTTATGTTTAGCAATGGAATAATGTATCCATGATCATATTTAGCTCAATTAATATGTAAACCAGATGACTTGGATTATTAGAGGGATGAACACGCACGTCTTGTGTGTATTTTCTCTGTTAGACACTGTTCATCACCTTGTTCAGATAAACTAAAGAAGCCATGATAACTTTGACATCTTTATGACATATAGAAGCTCCTTCCAACTCCAGAATTGCAGCAGCAACATGTGCACATGGTGAACAAGCTGAGGGGCAACTTCTTCCCTACGTTTCAATAGTTTAAAAAAAAAAAGGAAAAATCAACTCTAACTAAGTTTTGATAATTTAATAACAAAGTGAATCAAGGAAGTTTGAGAGAACAAGCTCTTCTACTTCAAAAGCTAAGTCAAAAGTTCAGACTAAGTTAAACTGTGAATATCTGTATTTTTAATTTGGTCAGAATAGCTTCACAACTTCAAATTCAGGATGCACAGCAGTGATCTAGAAACTCCTTCCTCGTCAGCTCCATTAAGTAAACGTGACAGGTGCTCTTCCATGCCAAAACACAGACGATCAGAATTTTTGCAGCTCCATTACAAAATCCTGCAATTTGTGGTCTTAATTTCACAAATCCAATTTCTGCTCTGAACATGCTAGCCAAAACAGTGGCCCTGACATTTTCATCTCCTTACAGCCCCCACTTGAGCAGCATAAACACACATTCTCAGGCATAGAAAACAGAATTTCAGCATAATTCTGGTAAAAAACTAAATCTATTACAGTATCACTGATAATCCATTTTCACCAAGAAATAGAAATAATGCATAACCCTGAGGTTTGTGTTTGAAGAAAAGATACAGAGAATCTCAACAGAGAAGAAAATACAATATCCAGAGTTATCCTGAGGTTGTGCATTTGGAAATGTTTGTGTAGGATTATCCTCTTCAAATAAAATGTCAATTTAATCAATAGTAAATTGAGCTGAAAACAACACAGAGTTTTGAAAATGTTTCAGGAAGACATCCAATATTTTTGGGACTCAAGCCAACAGAAATGGAAAGAACAGAAGGTAGCGTAGGTGGGGTAAATGGGGCCTAGCTGCTGCCTCATCAAGTGCTTATAACAGTCAAAACCCTACAACAATCCATTAAAAACATATCTGGGGACTCATTTAGTAGCTGGCATCCAGCATGGGCTTCTCTCATGTATCTTTTGTCAAACATTATAATTGCTCTTCACAAGTAGGACTTACCGGTCTTTTCCTGTCTCCTTCTTAAATACTGCATCACAGTAACTCATGCGCTTTTCTGTTGTCACATAGATTTTGGCAGTTGGGTAGCTGTCAACAGTTTTCTTCAGCATGTTGTACACAATGCCATTTCCATCCTTCCTCATATTTCGAAAAGGTCCCCAGATCACGTAAACAGTGTTATTGGTTTCTTTGAAAAAGTACTCGGGATTCTTGAGTAGGAGAGGCACGCTCGTGTGAGAGACCACTCTTACGGTTGTCCTCTTCCCAACATCCTCCTCGTAGCCCTTTGTGGGAGCATTGTTCATCCTCCATATGCAGGAGGACTTGTCTATCTCGGCTCCCACCTTCTGGCCAGCCATCTGTCCCGAGTTTGAAACAACGGCACAGAGATCACAGTCAAGTTGTAGAGGCTGGAAAAAAGAAAACAAAAATATACGGCAAGTCTTTCTCTGTAAAACATGAAGACTGAAAATTCAGTTAAAAGAAAGACACGCACAGTCCAACAAATTCATAGCAATGCTTCTTTTTTTAAAAAAATAACAATCCCCATGTGGTAGAGCTGGTAGAAAACCCTACCACTACAAAGCTCTGCATGCAATCCTTTTTAGTGAAATAGGTGGTAGTTCCAATCTTTTCCTTTGTTCTCCACCTTGCAAAGTCAACTAGAAAAATAATAATTTCTTTTTTTCCTCTAAACATTACTCTTTCCACTAGAAAACAATGAAAGAAAGAAGCAGCAGAAAACAATATTTAAATCAATGTCTTTTTCTCTTTTAACAAGGTGTTGTCAGCAATAGGAAAAAAGTAAAGAAAACGTAATGCGGGAACTTTAACTCTATACTGACTATGTTTATGTGTCTGAATGAATTGTTCCCAAATTTGTGATAGAAGTCAAACAAGAGATGCAACTCTATAAAGCAATCCAGTAGCGTGAAAATCCTGCAGTTGCAAAGGAGATGTAGACAAAGGAATATGGTGTTCTCCCCAGAGAACGGTTATGACCCATGAAAAATGAGAGGCAGAGGGACTGGTGACATGTGAACTAGGAACTTAATCCTGGGCAAACTGAAGTCAAAGACAGTATTTCCTGAGCGCATTCTGGGTACTATTTCTCCAGTGCGAATTGAAAACAGGAACAGTTATCTGTCTAACAGAGATATAGGGACCCATCTGACGTTCCATTTGTCAGAGCAGAAATAGTAAATGCCTTATGGTTCTTTTGTACCAACAGAGTAAAAGGAAACACCCTGTATTTAAGTTGGATTTAAGTTGGAAATCTAAATCAAATGAAATTCAGATCATCAAAAAACCCCACAAAAAGTCCAGGCCACAGATCATCTACAATTTTTTGCATGGTCACAGACTTGATCTTCTGTCATGCTCCCAACTGGGAGCCAGTAACTTCAGTTTAACGTTTGTTAGGAATAATTCCACTCACATTCTTCAGATATTTAGTTTGACAGGATGCTAGGTGCTTTTCTGATCAGACTTGTGGTTATTTCCCTTCAAAATCACACCTCATTTAGTTGATATGGATGAATATCCTGGCTATACTTGAGCACTATAACCTTAGGACATGGTGGCTGACAAAACATCGAATTTCTTTGACAATGGTGCATAATACAAAGACAAAAGATAAACATTTTAAAAGAGCCAAACTATAACAGCTAAAATATCTCATCTTTGGGTGACAAATATTGTACTGAACTAAGACTTCTGCAATAAATCTTGCAATTGCAAAGGTTTGGTTTCTCTATTATGATTGGTGTGATTTCTCTGTGTGATTCATGACTCCTCATTTCATCAGGAGTTAAAGATCCCTGACTGCATGCAAAAGCATCGGCAATGTTTCCTTTACAGAACACCATGTATTTTTTTTATAGCTGTTCCAGTTTTAGAGAGCTGTCCTGTATAGCTCTCTGACAGCAGGGATGAAATCCCAGGAGATGCAGCTGAACACAACAGTCTTTCTGTTTACCGCTTAGTTACAGAAATCCTCTCTAAGATACATTATGAGGACATGGCTGGGTGACCTAAACAAATCCATAAGCATAACTCACATCCTAACATGAAGTGAATTGTTAAAGTCCCAGTAGATTAATTTATAGCTTTCAGGGTGAACTTTCAAACTAACAAATGCTGAATATGAAACTGCTAGATAGAAAAAGCCAATTTGGTCAAGAATCTGGTCCCATTTAAATTTGTCTCAACCTTAGTGCTGGGCTTTTTTTCACAATATTCTTCCTTCTCCATTAAAATGGAGCTGCTCTCTTAAATTTGGAATTGTTTGATTTTCTGACCTTAGTTAGAAATGCATTGCGTATTTTCTATTCACTGAGTGTAACTGTTCTGCTCGAATAAACTGAGTACACTCACTCCTGCAATTGTGTCCCCCGGTTTTCTAGCTCTTTTGTTGTGATTCATTTATCTTGTTCCAATTTATAAAGCGCTTTCATAATATTGAATGCTTGCACTAGGTCAACATATAATCTGCTCTTCTTCAATAGAGGCAGAGGCTTAACCCCTCACAGCCCTATCTCAGAACAAATATTTTTACAATGTAGAGAAATTTCACAAATATGCATAATATGCATATTTCCCAACAGAGATCCCAGAGAGAGTTAGGAGACTGATGGACACCCACGACAGATATTCCACTGACTCCAGCATCATCTGCTGACTTCAGTATCTTTTTGCATCATACCTTCCACAACGTATGATAAAACACACATCAATATTCGTTCGTTGAACCTCCGTATGGAGACAGGCCGGCAGCTTGCGGTGTTGGTTTGTAAGTGTCGCAGACAAAAGGCGCAGTTTCAGTAATCCACATACAACAGCTTTGTCATTTTCCTCCTTTAACATGGCATTCCTATTTGTTATTACAGCCTAGCTCAGGTATGGCTGTACCATCACTTTAAGACTCAAAAGCTGCTCAGATGTAGCTCCTCTGCCAGGTGGCTCCCACAGGAGCTATTCAGGCACAGGGATGTGGGTGCCCAGAGGGGCTGGAATTAGAAAGCATCTGGGTAGTTGTGGCTGCTGCTTCTGCTACTGAACTAGGACACAGCTGACAGCTCCCTTTGACCCTTGAAGAGTTGGAGTGATCTGCTGTTGTCCCCCGTCACCCCATACTCTGAGGTCCTACATTCTTCACTCCCTTTTCCCATATGCAGATTTTTGGCTGCAAGGTTGCCTGTGATAGCCCTAACCTGTATGAGAAATTATCGTTTTTTCATTTAACTTGCTGTATTTTTTGTATTAAGGACAAACAGAAGCAGAGAGATAGTTATCATACACAGAAACTGGAATACGGAGAGATGAAAACTGGGGAATTAGAGAAAATGTGCTGCCTTGGTGATCTGTTTTGCAAGTAACAGTGACTATTTTACAGGTGTCCACATCACAAACACCAGGACAGCAATTAAACACTAACTCATCAGCAGCCTTATCAGAGAAACAAAAAATGGTTCTGGCAGGCAGTCCGGGCTGCCCTCTCATCTGCAGAGAGGGTCCAGCAGCAATGGGATTGATACAGATCGGCAGGACCATACAGAAACCTGCGCTGTTACTGTTTATTCTCTCTGGACCGAGAACGTTAATTAAGGGTTTACCTGAACCTTTCACAAGATCTTAATTCACTTGCATTGTAAATAAACTAGCTAAAGAAAAAAAAACATAGAGAATCATTCATCTTTTCTTCTCTTTTCATGTATTTAGACACATATTTCACCTCTACACACCACGGGAGCTGAGCTGTTATTGCTTCTAGAAAATTATTCATTTTGTCACCGACCAGAAGGACGTAGAAGTCCTCAGCAGAGCAGCTGGGCATGATTCTGACAAATTGTCCCATCGTTTCCCCGAATGATACATTGTAACTGTTGAGGAGCACTTATATTTTAATCAGTAAAGAAAATGAAATGTCTGACCTTTCCATTTCCTGTGCAAGCTTACAGACAATAGAAAAGATAATTAAAACTGTGAATTAGAACTTGCAAAACAGTGCCGTTTCTCTAGCAAAGAGAAATAGCTGTGTAATAAAGGTCACTTATCAAACAGTTCTAGTTATTAAATCTTTGAATTTAGCACTGAAGTGGCTTCACAGAATCAAAGGTCAAATCATTAAATAACAAAACCAGCCAGAATTAGAAAAGGTCACAAGCAAATCTAACTAGAAGTAGGTCACAAAACATGATTCTCTTCCACAGAGGATTTCGATATTTGGGAAACTGGTTACTTTCCAATTTGAAACAACTCCCTCATCATTTCAAATGTCTCCACCAAGAGACTGAAATTCCAGCTACAGAACTGTCCGTATGGGTGGGTTTCCCAGTGGCACAGATCCTGGATCACCAAGTTTCCCAGATGCGGACCTGTAGGTCTGCTGAAGTCCCAGGCAGAGACAATCTCAGGCCAGGCCTCAGCCTCTTGGCCAAAACTTAGCACAAGTCAGCGGAGTCCAACAAAGCAGACAGACCAGTCCCATGCCAAGCTCCTGCCTCAGCAGAGACTGCCAGATTCACCTTCAGTCGGACCAAATCCAGCTCAGGACTTATGCAGATGTAATTTACACTAATGAAAAGCTGAATTTCTCTTGTGACTTCTTAGTGCTATTGGCTGGTTGATGGTGCGCTGGAGAGCTCACTCCAACCACCAACTCTGCCTCACTCTGTGAATCCCACAACTAATCACACAGATAGTTAGGAAATTCAGATTAAACTTTCCCAATTGTTACTTTAACAATATGATTGTAATTTTGTAAATTGGACGCAATGCCCATTCACTACATAATGAGGCAATTATTAGCAGCTCGCCACATATTAATTTGCTCCTTTAATGTTGAAACAAATGAGATCTTTTCTTATAATCATCCTATTTGAGTGAATTCTAACAAAGCTGACTGAACAAAGCTCCAGAGAGACTTACTTTATTTCAATGCCATTTATTCTTCTAGTCTTCTTGGATGTCTTTAGAGTTTTAGAGGATACAACATTTATAATGATGCCAATAGGGAATAGATTTTGCCTTTATTCTTCTTGATGTTCTTTTGAGGTCTTTGAAATGAAAGGTACAAGAGAGGCATTAACCGTCTGGCATTGTTTTTATTGCTTTTCTCTACTTTACAAGCAAAAAATGTATTTTAGTTTTTCCTGTGTTTCAGTGATGATTAACCAAGCTGGTTTTATCTACACTTACTCACTTTCTTCAGACCTCTGACTGGGAGGAAAGACTTGACAGGCTTCTCTAAAACAAAATTCAGCACATTTAAAGAAAAGAAAGATAATACTTGTGTGTTCACCCAGCAAGAGCTATCAATTTAATACAGCGCTCAGAAGCACTGTATATAAATCACATTATATAACTAACATCAAGCAATAAAAATAAAAATTATAAAAACCCACAGGTC